GCTGCCCAGGACCTGAAGACCAAGGTCAGAATTCCTTCCCCCATCTTTCTGTGAACTTTACTGAGAATCTAGTACCTGCTAGGCACCGTCCTAGGCCCTTGAACACAGCAACAAAAATCCAAAGACCCTGTCTTCATGGCACTTACTTCAGAGGAGAAAGAATGACAATAAGCAAGGGACATAAATACAGAATAATATACAAGGTTAAGCACAAAGATGGGGAGTGTAGCCAGGTGCCGTGGCTCATGCCTGTAATCCTCAATACTAAAAAGGCGGAGATCAGGAGGATCACTGTTCAAAGCCAGCCTGAGCAAATAGCTCATGAGACCTTATCTCGAAAACACCCATCACAAAAAAGGGCTGGTGGAGTGGCTCAAGTGGGAAGATCACCTGACTAGCAAGTGTGAGGCCCTGAGTTAAACCCCAGCACCCCCAGAAAAACTCCCAAACACCAAACTAGAGCAAAAAAGACTGGAGGTGTGGCTCAAGCCATAGAGCACTAGCAAGTGCCCCAGCACTGCAAAAAAAAAAAAAAAGACACTGGACAGTCACAATCTCCAGAAAATATCCAGGGCAGGTGGTTACTTGTGACCTTTGGAAGAACAATTTCAGCAGGACTGAGGTAGAACCAGAAGGCCAGCCACTGTGAGCTGTGCATGTGGTTTATTGGCAGAGCAGGGATGGGAAGCAGTGAGATCTTGGAGACCAGGCCCAGGCTGAGGGAGGAGTCAGAGAGGAGGCTGCAGATCAGTATCAAGAGGCTCCAGGGAGGGAAGAAAGATGGATCTCAGCCAACGCTGAGCTAGAAAAGCAGAGGGTCAAGCTCAAGTCATTGAGAGCCTGGACCAGGGTTGGGGAACAGAGAGAAGATTCCAGAGACATTCTGATGGAAGATGCAGTCAGGCAGTGACTGCAGCGTGGGAGGAGTCAGGCGCAACTCCAGGATTTGAATCCCAGCTCCCGCCATCACCCTGAAGACCTTGCGTGAATGCCCCTGGGTCCAGGCTTCCCCATCTTCATGTCAGACCCCCCTGGCCCCAGCCTGGCCCTGCCTTGACCAAGGTTTGCTGCACCCTGGACTCCTCAGGTCTCTGAGCTCAGCCTTGAACCCTATCCCAAATCCATACAGTGGTTCTCTGCTTTTGCTGCAGCCACAATTAGGGAATACTGCTTACTTGCTGTAAGCAGTCCAAGCAGTCCTTGTCAGTCCATCCTGCCGGGTCTCTCTTATCCCATAGCCCTGTGGGGTTCCCTCTGCTGCCCTCTACTTGAATCCCTATCTCAGTCATGGCTTTGCTTCATGTTTCAAAGAGAAGGTACAGGGCCGGCCAAGCAAGAAAAGCTTAATCCAAGAGTCATATTGTACTCTTTTATGAGGTTCTAGAACCAGCAATCTATCTTGATCTACAGTGATAGAAAACAGATCAGGATTGTCTGGGGCTGGGCAACTGATTGCAATGGGATATGAAGGAACTTTCCAAAGGGATGGGAATGTCCTATATTTCTACTGGGGTGGTGGTTACATGGCTGTATACATTTGTTGAAAGTCATCACCTGTATGTTTACTTTCTTGGGAGGGCAGACAGTCTTGCTAGACAGCCCAGGCTGCCCTGGAATTCTCAATCCTCCTGCTGCAGTCTGCAAGTACTGTGATTAAGGTGTGTGCCACTATACCTGGAGCCTTATTTTAAAATAGGTGCACTTCAAGGGTTGAGGGCATAACTTGGTGGTAGGGTGCTTGCCTGGTAGGCAAGGGGCCCTGAGTATGATTCCTAGTACCACAAAACAAAAAAACAAATAAATAAACATCTGGTGCACATCTATGGTCCCAGGCTGTAGGTAAGAGGATCACAACTAGAGGCTGGTTTCAGGCAAAAAAAATGCAAGACTCTATCTGAAAAATAACTAAAGCAAAAAAAGGTGGGAGGTGTGGCTCAAGTAGTAGAGGACCTGCCTTGCAAATTCAATGTTTTGAGTTCAAAGCTCCAGTACTTTAAAAGAAAAAAACACAGAATCTTTTTTAGTACTGGGATTTGAACTCAGGGCCTTGCAGTCCTTAGGCAGGTGCTGTACCTCTTGAAGCCCCACCCTCAGCCTGAGAATTATTATTTATTTATTTATGTGGGACTGGATTTAAGTTTCCTGATTAAAAAGTAGGCCCTCTACCACTTGAGCCACACCTCCAGTCCATTTCTGTTTTGGTTAGTTTGGAGATGGGATCTTGAGAACTACTTGTTCATGCTGGCCTCAAACTGTGATCCTTCCAATCTCAACCTCGCCAGCAGCTAGAATTACAGGATTATCTGATTTTTTTTTTAAAGAGAAAATACATGATATCGAACAGAAGTCAGTCACACACACACACACACACACACACACACTTCTGTACCCATCTTTGGCTTCCTCCCCTTTTCTCTGGGAAAGCAGAGCACTGTCTTTGGCTACCCAAGCCCTCCTGGGTGAGACTGTTCCCACCAAAATGGACATACCATTACTTCCTCTGACCTCATACCCTGTCACTGGCTGTCCTGTGACAGGTGGCTCACAGCCAGCTCCTGTGTAAGAGTGTCTAAACTCCCTTCATCATGCTGTATCAGTTAGCTCTCTCTCTCTCTGAAACACCTGTGGGGACTTCCCTCTCTCCTCATGGGTTCCTAGCCCCACTTTCTCTGGGTTCCTCCTCCATCTCTGGACACTCTCCATGTTTCTTGTTTGGCTCCTCCTGAAGGTTGTGATCCCTGGGTCTCTGGCCTTGGCCTTGGCCTTGTTCTTTCTGTACCTGCCAGTCTCCTGGCATGACCTCACCCGCTCCAGGACTTCTGTACCATCTAATGCTAACAGTGCTCAAAGATATCCCTTATTGTTTTTTTCAGGGTATCAAGGATATGTGAAAAGAGGTAGAATGTTACATGTGCTTCAAAGTTTTTTTACAAATTTTAATGCAATATACATATATAACTCTTTTTTGGGATGGTCTGCTAGTCCTCAAACTCAACAAGCCCCAACCTGAATTCATCAACTGTCAATCCTGTTCTTCCATC